TAATTTTTTCATAACACTATTTGGATTAACACAAACACACATTTTATCATGCATAGTAAAAAACGAGGATAGCTCCTGGTTACGGTTCCTAAATATGGTAACTTTGGTTCCACTGGCTAGTAAACTCCATTGTTGTAATCGAGAACCTAAAAGTTCAGCATGTTCTTTGGATAAGTGAATGTACCAAACTAAATCATTTAATTTAGTTTGTTTAATGAAAGGGATGCTTTATCATCGCTATCAGGAAAATAAGAATCGTCCGTTTTTGATACATCATCGGGTTCACTTTTATCGTCAGATATTTTCCAATCTTGCACAAATTATGCACAATTTTCAAGAAAAATGTTAATTTAATAACATTTTGCTCCGATATATTACAAATGACTTCAAATTTTTTTTATTAAAATACTTAAAAAAAATAGTTTTTTTTTGAAAAAAATCATAACTCAAAAATCTTACGTGTTAGGAAGTTTTTATCAGAATATTCATGTTCAGAGAGCCAAAATTAACAAAAAACACCATTTTGCATTCGAGTCGCAAATTGGTTGTAAACTAGTGTTATCGAACACTGAGCCTCATGAGTCATATTTTAAAAGTACTGCTGAAAGTAATTCGAGAAACTATTTCGAGAAAGTAATTCTAAGCGCGAAACGCGTTCAACAATATGAAAAAGTGGTTCACAAGCAAAATCTCAATGGAACTAAAATTAAGACTGGTCAAGTGTTATGTCTTCCGGTCTTGTTCTATGGAGCAGAGGCATGGACCACAACGGAAGCCACCCTGAAGAAACTAGAATCCTTTGAGCTGTGGATATATCGCCGTATTGTACGGATATCTTGGACAGACCACATTACTAACATGGAAGTAATGCAGAGAATAGGCAAAAGCAAAGAAATAATCTTCACCGTAAAGAAACGGAAGCTTGAGTACTTCTACCATGTCATGAGGCATACTAAGTACCGGCTGCTACAGTTAATAGTCCAAGGAAGAATCGACAGTAGGAGGGGACCGAGAAGAAGACGACACTCATGGATGCATAACCTGCGATAATGGTTCGGACTAACATCGACCGAACTGTTCAGAGGTGCCGCAAACAAAGTCAAAATAGCCTTGTTAATAGCCAACGTCCGAAACGGATAGGGCAAAGGAAGAAGAAGAAGCTGAAAGTAATACATGAGAGAATATACGAAAGGCTAGAAGAGGATATTAGAGAGACGTAGTTCGGGTTTCCAAATGAAATGGGTACTCGAGAAGGACTATTTGCCATCAATATATTGATTCAGCGATGTCGGGATATAAACGTTGATCTACACTTGTGCTTCGTTCACTACGAAAAAGCTTTCGATAAAGTAAGACATGAAAAACTAATATCAATACTTATGAATAAGCGCATTGACAGTAAAATCATATATATAGTGCAAACATTATATTGTAACCAAAGTGCCATAGTTCAAATTGATGAGCAACACTCAGAAGAAATGAAGATCTGCAGAGGAGTTAGACAGGGATGTGTTTTATCGCCATTTTTGTTTAACTTTTATTCTGAAGAAATTTTCCAAAACACGCTCAATAATATCGAAGCGGGAGTTAATTTACAACTATCAATAAGCACGGAGGAAGCTATAGCTATGTGAGGAAAGGTAGCCGAGGAAAGGTTATTGTTAGTTGTTGCTCTGCAGAGTATCAGGGTCTTCTAACTCTATTGCCACAAATTGGTTACATTGCTCCTGTAGTAATCCTTTCCCAAGTTAACATGCTCCTTTTCTAACTGGGCTGCACCATACTGAAGACGGCCAATAGTCAGACCAGGTGCGTGCTGGTCTGCCTATAAAATAGGTATATCGATGGAAGGCAACTATATACGTATATACGGTATACGTATATAGTTGCCTTCCATCGATATACCTATTTTATTTTTGTTTTCCTGTTTTGCGAGACATGCCCTTATATTTTACTTTTATTTTTTACCCTCTAACCAACTACAGCTAAAACTATCCATCCGTTAGGTTAGGTTCCAAACCTTGCAAATCTCAGTACAGCGACACACTCTGGCTATAAACAAGAATGTGGTACGGATGCAGCCGTTCTTCTGGCTACAGATGTTTAAATTGGCTTTTACAATTCCGTGACAACAGGTACATTACAGTGGCTTCCCACGGTCGGCGATTCTACAGATCATCGCGGACAGCCGATCAGCACGGACGAGAACGCACCCCAGACAGAGCTCTTCCTACGGTCCGTGACAGTCTGTGTAGGTCCGTGACAGTATTGTTTAATTATGTCATAAAAAGACCACTCAGGCTTGTAAACATTAAATTCGGCATTAAATTATTTCTCTTCTTTTTTAATTCTTTAATCGAAATAGTACTATTCTTCAATTGATTTTTTATTTGGTTCTATACATCGTATATATCGGTTCCGCTTCTTATGCTCTGGTGCCGTAGAATTCCATAAATTTGTTTCATTTTGATACAAATTTAAAAAATCAAAAATAACTTCGTTTGTCCATTCCATTTTTTAACAAAAAACTGCAAAACAACTTTGCCAACACTACAGACAACCACTCGTGTCAGCGAATGAAAAACTTCTGACTTGCACTTGTCGTCTGTTAAAACACAGACGCGCTAGGATCGCGTCGCACGAGCATGTACCGCACCTTTGATGTTACCGACTCTAGATGGATAGGACGGACCAGCACAGACGTGCCTGCGCTACCACGGACGAGACCCTTCCCACGGTGCGTGGTGCGTGCTGGTCTGCTTACGTCCGTAATATCGCCGACCGTGGGAAGCCGCCCTTATCTATCGACGTAAAAATGCTTATGAAAATATTGATTTAAATATACCTGCTGTGTGATAAACTTGTATTTCTTGAAGTTGAAAGTGAAACAAAATTGTTGTGTGCACTAATTCCTTATATCAGTATTAAATTTATTACAAAACTTTAAAGTCACAATTAACAGCAATATATTCCTATTAAAAATTTGTCAACAGTTACTAAAATTATCAACCTCATCATATGATGTTAAATTTGTATGGTTTAAGGGACATTCAGTTTTATTGGATAGTAGTATTTTGGATTCAATAGCTAAAAATCCACTAAAGACTTCATATATATTGATTGAAGAATTCAACACATGTGATCCCATTGCGTTAATGGTACACAATTTGATTTTTCCAAAGGCCTGTGAATGCGTGAAGCTCTTTTTTCACTTAATATACTGATAAAAATATGTTTGGACGTCAATCAAGATATATACGCGCGTTTTATTGACTATAATAAAGCATTCGATAAAGTACAACATAAACAGTTAATGAATGTCCTGAAATCAAACAAGATTGTCTACAACGACCTTAGGTTCATATTAAATTTATATTATAAATAGCGAGCAAAGGTACGTGTTAACGAACAGCTGTTAGAAGAAATTAAAATTAGACGTGAAGTGAGACAGGGATACGTATTGTCGCGAATTCTTTTTAATGCCTACTCCAAAGAGATCCTGAAAAATGCTCTTGAGGGTGAAACAGCTGGAATAAAGGTAAATGGAGTTCCCATTAAAAACATCAGATTTGCTAACACTGTGATTTTAACCGAAAATATTGATGATATTTAGATACTGGTGACCAGAACAGTGGTGTATGGAAAAGAGTCTGGTCTAACAATGAATGTGAAAAAGACAAAATTTATGAGAATATCGAAAACTCAAAGAAATAATGAGAATCTTCTAATTAACGGAACCAACGTCGAACAAGTGGACAAATATGCATATCTGGGAACAATGATTAACTCCACAAATGATTACATTCAGGAGATCAAAATCAGAATAGAAAAGGCTAGAGAAAATTTCAACAAAATGAGAAGAGTGCTATGTAAAAGGGATTTAAAATTGGAATTAAGAGTTAGGTTGTGCTATGTTTTTTCGACTTTATTTTATGGAATGGAATCTTGAACCTTAAATGCGACATCAATGAAAAAACTGGAATTATTCGAGCTGTGAATGTATGGAAGAATTTTAAAAATATCGTGCACTGAACACATCCCAAACAAAGAGGTTCTGAGAAGGATGAATAAAGAAGTAGAAATTTAAAATACAATTAAAACAAGAAAATTGGATTATCTCGGACATATTACACGTGTAAAGAAATACACCTTGCTCCAACTGATTATGCAGGGAAATATTCAAGGAAAGAGAAGCATAGGGAGGCGTAGAATGTCATGGATGCGCAACCTGAGAGAGTGGTATGGATGTACATCAAATGAACTTTTCAGAGCAGCCGTCTCAAAAGTCCGAATAATTATGATGATTGCCGACCTCTGCCGCGGAGATGATACTTGAAGAAGAGAAGATCTCATTGCATATGTGAAACTACGTATTAAATTAAAGTGGGATAGATATTGTTGCACTAAGTAAAAATACAGTGTCGACCATCCTCAGATTAAATGGAGGATGTTTTTCGAAGCATCTACACAAAATCGGAGTTCTCGCAACAGACAGATATGAATATGGAACTAGCATAGCTGATCTAAATCACATAGTTTTAACTGTGCCTTACATCTCAATACAAGTACATAACTGCTTTAAGAATTGCTGAAAGCAGGTTTAAAGCCACCATTAAACTTAAATGTACTATTAAGTGAAGATAATATAACATTTTTAAATTGATTTTGGTATTTCTTCAAAAATTAAATTAAAGGTGTGAATGAAAATTGATTATTTAAATGGACATTTCCTTTGTAAGTGTACTTATTTGTTGCCCACCTATCTAACTGTGGTTTATGTATTGTATGTTATAATAAAGTTGCTTTGATGAACCTTTGAGCGTGAAAAGTGTCCCCCTTATACAATTCTGAATGAATGAATACTAATATTTGTATTTAATTACGTGGCTAAAGGTTCTAAGCCAAGGCTAAAACACAAAAAAAACTTAAGCACATTCGCTTGATTCTTCGTTTTTAAAAGGTTTGAGCAGTTTGTTGGTACAAAATATATATCATAATGTTTGTTATTATATATTTTATTAAAATTGTATAAAATAATTTACACAAGAGATTATCTACAAGGAGGAAACATATACCTTACAACTAAAAGTATATCCAACAACATGTTGTCAGCTGGCAGTCGTACTTGGTAGTGGGAAAATAAAATACAAAACTTTATACAGCTACTAATGACAGAATGGATAGTTAGGGCAGGATCTGGCATCTACTCCAGCTGGAATTTGAGCAGGTTGAGCGTGTGCTCCAGCTTGGTTGTATTGAGCTGGGTTGTAAGCTGCTTGAGCATATTGGGAAGCTACTGGAGCTGAGTTGTAAGCAGCTTGTTGTGGAGCACCTAAAACACAAATAGTTTATTATATAATATGTACAGTGAAAATAATTTCTACACATTTTTTGTTAAAAATATAAGAACTTTATTATACAATGCAGTGATAGACTTTGGGTTACATCTAAGTTAGTTAAGTTGACCCAACTAATAATGCAAAACGTAAGCTCATCCGTTAGAATTGAAGGAGAAAACTCTACTTAATCTTCTTCTTTGACATTAATAATGGTCTTAGACATGGGGACGCGCTGGCGTGTCTCCTCTTTAATATTGCCTTGGAAAAGGCAATCATACAATTAAATATTAGAATGAATTGAACTATTTTTAAAAGATCGAGGCAAATTCTCGCATTCGCTGACGATATAGTTATAGTGGGCTTATGTATGAGAGACATGGTGCAGTGTTTTACAAACTTGTGGACGCGGCAAGTGAAATAGGACTTGTGATAAACGAGGAAAAAAAATATATGTTGGTTTCTAAAAATCCCCGAAATATCCAACAGAGAATTCAAATTAATAACCATACTTTTGAGCAAGTCCAAGAATTCACATATCTTGAATCGCTAGTAAACGCAACAAACACGACAAGCAACGAAATAAAAAGACGCATAGCAACTGGCGAGGAACCGCAAAGTAGGCGACGCCTGGTGGTAGATTTCAAAAGCAACCACTTCGAGAAAACATTGAAATTGTCATTATTTTGTATACATATTAGCGACCGGTTTATATTGTAATTAACAATAAGTTCGACTTCAAATAACTATTGCAGTGTTCCTCAATGCATTTTGTGAATTGGCAAACATATAACCAAGTACGTGACTGTGCAGTTTACATTTTACTGAGAACAATTACTTTCCAAGTGTGAATTAAAATATTATTTATATTTTAATATATTTATGCTTAATTTACTTTATAGTAACACCTAAAACTAAATTAAAAAGACTGAAGATAAATGCTATTCTATCAGCTAAATTGCCCTAACGGTCTTATGAAGTTATTAGTAGAAAACGTAAGGCGTAATTTACAAAATATAACGCGGCCAGGACCAAAAACTGCCGCACCCTCAACTAAAGATCTCTGCCGATCTTGCAACCATATAAATAATTAAGATTATGTAAATTTTACAACCCGTGTTTCAGACATACTGTAGAAAAACAAATATTTAATTTTATTTTTATTTAGGTTTGGGAATCAATTACCTTATGTATAAACTCCAATCACAAACAAATAAACTTTGAAGAACGTACTCCAACTTTTACTTTGGCAAAACACACGTGTAAATGATTTTTATTAAACGTTTTATACCTTAGAGATCAAATGACAAAATGATTTGTTTTCCCGAAGTTATCGTCCATCTTTACATTCTTCAGCGCCCCCTGTCGGAATTGGCTATCGCGAATAGCAAACAGAACCGTTCACTGTCTGCACTCTCCAGAAACATTTAAAAAAATAAAAATACAAAACGTGCAGTAAAGCTTAATATATACAAGACCTTAATAAGACCGGTTTTGATATATGAGGCTGAAACGTGGACCTTATCTCAAAATAATTAAAGATTTCTGGGTATTTTTGAGAGAAAAATTCTTAGAAAGATTTTTGGAGTCGTAAATGAAAATGGGCTATGTCGTCTAAGATACAACTTTGAACTATATCAATTATACACCGATCCAGATATTGTGAAATTCGTTAAAGTGCAGAGACTTATATAGCCTGGACACATTGCTAGGATGTAAGATCACGAATACACAAAGAGATTAACATTTTTAAAACCATAGGGCACAAGACGAAGACGACATCGAAGGAGGTGTATTGACAGGAGTTTCGACTCTTTTGTGAGCAAGCCAAGATCACTTATGATGATGATCATGACATAAATCATTGATATTTATAAGGTGGAAATGCCTTTCATATAAAATGTAAACTACAGAAATCGATACATCCATATTTCCAGTAAAAAAATAATAAAAAAAAATAATGTATTGTAAAAAATGGCAATGGATATTATAATGGCAGAAGATGAGAACTGTGTAAAAGGGCTTTCAAGGGAAAATAAATGATTAACTATGCCATTATACTGAAAAATTCAAAAATATATAAAAGTTAATTTTGAATTATTATTATTAACTCATAAAAAGGTAAAAGTTGATGAAAATCAGTAGTTCGGAAACTAAGTTTAACAATGAGGAGACGTGGTGTTCAAAGGAAGTCCAAGAAAAAATGAAAGGGAAGTGAAAACTGTGTAAAGAGTAATGAGTGAAGAATAAAGGAAATAAGTCTAATATAGAGCTTAACAAAATCTTCAAAAATAAAGCAAAAGTAGCTGCAAAAATACAGCAGGTGCATTTAAAAAACTGTACAATGAACTTATTAGTAAAGCGGATGAAAGAAAAGTATATAAAACAGCAGCAGCAAATAAATCAAAAGATATTAATCAAATTCAATATAACGAAGATTAAGATAATAAAGTAGTTACGTAGAAATAGGATATCAAAAAGGGATGGAAAAATATGTTAAGTTATTAAATAAAAAGTTGACAAAAAACCAGTTGCAGTAATGGATACAGTAACAGCAAAGAATATATACGCATATGCGTCTATATTCTTTGGTAGCAGTAATCGCCACTAATAAAAAAACACAGCAGGACGTTTTTCAAGAACTACAAAAAGTGTACTGATACAAAGAGGACCGAACGATCTGGCAGAATATAAAAAATGTCACTGTATTGATGTCATAAATGAACTAACTGTATACAAATTCCAAAACGCTCTGTCCTCTCTATACGGAAATATTATTTGTAACGTTGGTAGTCTTTGATTCATTGACCTCAAATTCAATAGGAGGTTCCTCAATGAATCAAAAGCAATCTATTTACCAAGTTAACAAGACTCTAGAATTTTTGCTCAAAGATTTTCCGTACAAATGATCAGACAGATAGGTAGACACACAGATAAACAACAATACGATTTCACTATTTCAAGAAGGACATTTTCTTCTTCGCATTGCGCCGTCTCCTTCAGAAGGTTGGCCATCCAAATGGCAATTGTAGCGTTGGAAATTGCTGCATAAAAGATTTCTGTGGATGAGCGGTCAAACCATTTCCTTAGGTCTTTCAGCCACGAGTTCTGGCGTCTTCCAACTGACCTTTTACCCTGCACTTTACCTTCCAATATAATTTGGAGTAATTCATATCTTTTGACTCTCAACACATGACCCAAGTATTGTAAGCAGAAAATGTAGGGTCATAAATAACGAAAGGTAAAGCAGTTCAATACATTATACCCCTGAAGAACTATTGTCGGTATGAAAAATAAACTAGAACAAGTTGGCTAACAAATTACAAAATGCGTTTTTTGGTTTACATTCATCACTAATTTTAACACTATAATTCTAGATCTGTAAATATAACTTTAGTCTAAAAATTAATTTGAATTTATGCAAGGCGTATCAACAAAATATGCAATTTTCAATATAAGGCCGGTGATGAAAAATGTAGAAATAAAGAAAAATATGATATTCATTGATTTGACCTCATTGATATTCAGTAAGACAGAAGTAAGTGTGTGAGTAAGTGAAGATTATGATATATATATATATATATATATATATATATATATATATATATATATTATATATATGATGGAATAACAACCACGTGCTGAAGAGACCGATATATTCATGTAAAGGTAGAATTGCATCATACTAATTTATTCTCATTACTATTAGATCAGTTAACAGGGAAATGTCAAGTAATAGCAAGTGACATTCTTTGGTATTTAATCTATATTGATGACATATTGTTGGTACGAAAATATTGAAACAAAATTAACGCAAAACTGAAACAAAGACACAAGCGTTTCAAGAAAAGGTTTAAAAGTTAATCGGACACGAACAGAGGATCTAAAATGTTTATTTAAATATGTAGTTATTGCTACAAATAAGATAATAACATTGGATAGTTAAATTATTGTGAAAAGTAATAGTATAAGTATCTACGGTCAGTATTATAAAATAATGAGGAAGTATTTTATCTACTTGCAAATAAGCTAAAGAAAACTGGATGTCAACCAAATGCCTAGAAACTAAACAACTTCAGGAAATATGCGATACCTTTATTGTCCATAAAAAAGTAGAAGAAATGACAGGTAGATACAGAAAGAGAAAAAAAAACAATATTAAGAAACAATAATAACGAGATAATTAGGTACGAAAGACAAACTGGAGAGATGGAAAAAATATATTCAGACACTTTTTGACGATGATAGACCTTGTTCTCCAGCATCCACGAATGATCTAATAAATGAAAAAGTCGAAAAATAACAAAAGAAGGAAAAATAACAAAATAAGGAGTTATTTATGCAGTAAAAGCTCAGAAGAACTGAAAAGCCACCGGTCCAGACAATATCAATGTCGAAATACTTCAATTAATTGTAGACCACGAAAGTAAAAGCCTTGACATTCGTAACATTACCAAAAAAATCCAATGCCCCACACTGGGACGACTATCGAATATTAAGCATGATGTCTCATGCCCTTAAGACTTTTCTCAGAATCATTCATACACAATTTTTTCGAAATGAATTGGAAACACGTGATATTCTTTTTGCTTTAAATGTGTTAACACAACGATACAGAGACATGAATGTAGATGTTATGCATGTTTTATTGATTGTCGAAAAAAAACTTACTGCAGTAGCCATCAAAAGATGATTGGAATTCTGAGAACAACTGGAATTGATGAACAAGACTTGCGAATTATCTCAGAACTATATTGGCACCAAACGACAACAATTGAAATAGAGCATACAATAACCGAAGATGTAAGAATCTGACGAGGAGTACGACAAGGTTGCGTGTTATCACCGCTATTATTTAATCTTTATTCGGAATCTATATTTAAAAAAGCATTAGACGAGGTTCAAGGTGGAATCAAGATTATTGAGCTCAGCATAGATCAGTTGCGCTGATGATTCCGTCCTAATAGCAAGCAATGCATAAGAACTACAAATATAA